GGGGCCGGCGGAGCTGCTGCGCCTGCGCGAGCGCCCCCCCTCCGTCTGCGCGAGTCTCACGCCTGCGCAGTAGGAGAGTGAAGCTGCCGCGGTGCCGCTGCCCTTTCCCTGCCCGGGGTCGGGTCTGGGCGGGGCTCTGCTGCCCGCGGGGCGGAGAGGCTCCGCTGCGGCCAACCTGCTTCTTTACCTGAGCTGCCTGCTCCGCCCTGGGCTAACGCCGAGCCCCCAGCCGGGCCCGTGAATCCAGGAGCTGGAGATTAAAGAAAGCGCGTGTTGAGAGAGAGATCCGTGATATAGCTGGCAAGACGGATCACTCCCCAGCTCTGGGACTGGCTTGTCTCCTTGTCTGCCAGGCACCAGGACAGCCTTGCTGAGGCAACATGGGCAGCTCCACGCCTTCGGCCTCCGTGCACACGGGGTGCCCCTCCGCTCCTCCGGTCCCACGCCCAGAAATAAAATGCCAACCCTTGCGTAAGTGGCATTTGGAGACTTAGGGCCCCTCTACACATTATGGGCATTGCACAGGTAACTAGTTAATTGCACAATCACCTTAAGACCAGCTATAAATGCAAAGTAGCCATCATACCATAAAAAGGTCCAACCAGCTATAAAGTTAGACCTTGGAAATGTGTGCTAACTTTATAGCTGGTTGCTATCCAGTTTTAATTTGCATGTGTAGCAGGGGCTTTCAGCCTCAGGCATGCACCATGCCCGGAGTGAAGCTGCTGAGCCCTGGGGAATTGAGGCAGATGCAATCCCTCAGCCCCAAGGGTTTCACGTACCCCTGAGCCCTCAGGATTGAGGCATCTACAGGGCCCAGGGGTTTCGTGCACAATGCCCCTGTGGCTGGGAGCCCCCTCAGTTGATAATATTTGTCATGTGTAGTTGATGACAGAGCCCACTGATGGGGTCCCAGCTGCCAGAGCTGCTTTTTGCTTCTTTTTGCCTGCACCAGCAGTCAGACATGATGGGATTTAATGTGAGATCCCACAGTCACATCTCCTGCTATGCATGTGTGGCATGGTAAGAGGGGCAATTGTGTGGATCACATTAGATCCCATCACACCTTTACCCGCCTGCGTAGAGGGGGCTTAGATGATCAAATCTGGTCATCTAGGCATCCAGAAAGAAAACTGAAACTGCCCTTGTGAGTGAATTTCCTCTTTGTAGCTGAAAACATGTTTTTACAGGTCATTTATGTAGTTGTCATACAGATGTGCATTAGGACACTGGTAGATCAGTAGCTCTCCAAGGGATAGCTTCATTATCCACATTTGACAATGGCAGATACAGAGACATGAGAGGGCTTGCAAGGTCAACTTGAGAGCCCAATCGCTCAACCAAGAACAGAAGCCCCTATTTGTAAGTCCCTGTCTGAATTACCTCCACTAGGTTAACCACGCTCTTTTTCTTTCCTATGCACTAGAATAAGGACTTGGGTGGTTGTGCTTTGGAGTGTCTGGCATGTATAGTTGATGACAGAGCCAGTGAGAAATCACAAACATAGGTTATGTCACAAAGGTTTTAAGTTTCATTGCATGGTGGTCTCAGAACCTTTACAGACATGAGAAAAAAGAAGTACTCTCGTTCTCCATTTCCGGTAGCAGGTAGCCTGGCTCCCTGTCTGTATTTCCAGCTTATTATTTACCACCTAACTTAGACACTACTGCACAAAAATATTCCTTGGTGTGCAATATTACTGCAGACACATCTCATGGGCTTTGGCTTACTGAAGGGCTGCACATCTGGCTTACAAAGGTCCTGTAACTCTCTGCCGTTGAACTTCCTGTACCTGTTTTGGCCAGGCATCTTCAGCTGTGCCCCAGGCTCAGCCATTCTCCTTCTCCGCTCTGGCCAGTTCTCCTACCACACAGGAAGCTGTGGAGTACCCATACGTACCTTAATTTCCTGGTTTTAGAAGTTGAATTTTTCATGACCTTCAGCACTTATCTAACTAACACCAAGTCAGAGAGAGAGGCTTCAGTCTCTTCAGGGGTACAAAGCCCACTACATTTTTGCTCACCTACGAAGCAGGGAGAGGGTTACAGACCTTCTTCCAATACTCCCCAATGCCAGCACAGAGTGCAGTCCCTCACAAACTATGGTATTTACCTGAATCCAAGACAGCTTCAAATTTCAGCTGACCTCCTAATAATTAGATTCAACACATGGGACTGTGGCCAAGGCCCTGGGTGGCACAGGGTGTCTGCCTGCCTGGGCAGCTCCCTCCAGGGGTCAGCCAGGCTGGAGGGCGCAGCCTGGGATCAAGGAGCAGGGGCAGTAGAGCACAGACAGCGTCCTTGCCTGCGTTCTTCTGGCTCCACCCCAGTGCCTGCCACGGTGCTGGGACTTGTGGCTGCACAGGAGAGCCCAGAGCAGCAACGTAAGAAAAAAACAAAAAAACAATTTATTTGTGTGCCTCCCGGCATGCCAGGAAAAATGTCTCCGTGTGCCACTAATGGCACGCATGCCAGGAGTTGCTGACCCCTGAATTAGACTCTGAAAAGGAACAGGGTCCATCAGATTTCAGGATACACCTAGAAAGGGAGAATGTGAGACTGACAAGCTGTTCCATTCCTATTCTTTCACTCTGCAGCACAGAACCCTTCCCCCGCTTACTTGGACAAAGGAAGAACAGAGTGGGTGTAGCCTGCAAGAAGCTTAGTTGAGAAGGCTCCAGGATTCAGGTTGCAGATTGCAGACAGATGAGCACACTTTCCTTTTGAATAGGGAATGATCAGCAGCTGGTCCCTATAGCAACAAGCCAGGTCAGGGGACCGGAAGATAGAGGAGCAAGCGCCATATAAGCCTGAGCCTGGAACACAAGTGTCAGATTAGCTCAGACCCTCACTATAGAAGGAGCCCAACAGGCAGGCTACATAGGTGGGAGACAAGTTTTATGTTTTAGTTGTTGTTTGTGTTAGACTGCAGGAATGGGTTCTGGCTGTAGGGGAAAAGAAAATCAGTGGGCAGGGTGCCTAGGGCAACCTGGGCTTTGAGCCCTGCAAAAGGGGCAAGCAGAGTAAGCTGGGCTGAGGCCAAGAGGGCCAAGGCCCAGGCAGGAGCTCAATGAGGCTTTCTGAAGGGTGGCCAGTCTAGGACTGCCAGCAAGAAGGGGACCTAAAGGGACATGTGCCTGAGGGGCCAAGGGGCTGACAGTCAGGTACAGAAGCAGCTGAGAGGCCAATGCCCATGGTCTAGCAGCTAGGCATTAGGCTAGGGGGTAGGGGGTCTGTGCCTGGGGCCAGGGGCAGATGGTCAGGCACAGACAGCTGAATCTGAGGACAAGAGAGAAGAGGTCACAGGGGGAGTGCCCCAGAGAACCCCCACATATTGTGAGGTACTAAACCCTAATGAGAGCCCTGCTAGGGTTAGGGACCTGGTGGGCAGCTAGGGCTAAAAGGAAGAAGGAGAGAGCCCTGCCAGGGTTTAGGGATAGGGTGGCCATCATAGAGGACATTCTGGTTTTCTGCTACTCTGTCCTCTTTTGATATGAAACCCCATGCCTTTATGTCCTCTATTTTTTCTCTTCAAGAAAGGCATCTGGTTTTCTATCAACAGAGGACAACCAGACTATTCTCTGTGATGGCCACCCTAGTTAGCAATGAGCTGATTCACAGATTAATGATGGGCAGGGTGGGACAAGGCACCAAAAGCCAAGTTGTGAGCATCTGAAGGCAGCCTCCCATGGTATGTTAATTTTGACATCAAGGCATGGCAAGTAAGAATGGAGGTGGCCCAGGAGGCGGAACTGAAGTAAGGTGTCATGGAAAAAACACGCTGTAGAACTTGGAATCAGGTCAGGTAGAAACTTAATTTTGATAGCTATCGGAGAGAGACCCTTACAGGAAGATTTCTGCTGTGGCCTCTCTAATTCACATCCAGGGCAATCAACCTTTTATAGATTCAAGACAAAGGGTTGCCTAAACTAACTTTTCCCGCCTTGGGGCTATCTGTCTTGTGTCCTTCGAGACAGTTTAATGGTCATCTTCCTCTTATCTGAGGAATTTCTCTCTCCCCCCTTGAGGCCTTAGCCATCCTTTGCTTCCACATTTCCCCCCTTTGAGACTTACAAGTCTCATCTTATTCTATTTCTATTCCCATGAGTCTCTCTATTTCATCTTGCATCTTTCTATATCTTCTTTCAATCTGCTCACATCTTTTTAGTACCATCATTTTAGTTTCTGTGGTGTGTTTTCTTTCATTTTCCTTCTGCTGATTTTGTTCAGATATTTGCAGGAACATTAATCCATTCCCTGGTTGGGTTTGCTTAGATATGTAGCTTAGACAACAGGGTATGAGCATGAAAATTACACATATCAGGGCAATAATAATAAAAAATATCAATAATCCATGAATAATGGTGGATCCTAAGGAGCCAAAAAGGGACCTAAACCATGAACTTAAATTCCAGTCGTCTGGCTCATGTAATTTGGCTGCTTCCTTTTGAATATGTTCAGCCAAATGTTGTATTTTTTCGGAATTATCAGGGATGTAAGCACAGCATTCTTTACCAATTAAAGCACAGACTCCTTTGCTGGCTAACATGTCATCTAAAGCAAGTCTGTTTTGTAAAGTCATCTGTCTTATTTCCTTCATTTCATTATTTATTTCGTGAAGACCAATAGCAGTAGCATTAGCTGTGTTCTCTAGGGATGCTGCAACTTTCTTTATTTCAGACATGGCCAAGCCTGCACCATAGTTGGGAAACATGATTCCCCAAAATCTCTGAGTTTCTATAATTTCCCGCATGTTGCAAATCTTTCCTTTTGGCAAGTAAGCTCTAACAGCAATAGCGGGATATATTGCAGAGACATAGCATGTTCCTTCCCA